TATGTCTTGGCAGTAGAAGTTAATGAAAAATGGCAGAATTCACTAATATGCCGAGTTATCTGCTTCAAAGAAGCAAATTGACGACTGCAACTTCTGTTAAATGACACATACTATATTAGAAGCAGTAACCGGGAAGAGAAATTACCAGTTATGTTCCTTCGTGCTAATCAACGATTGCATTTTCCCTGCCGAGTCATTCCTTGAAACTTTTTATTTTGCTTCTAACCCTCCTTCCCGTCTTTCGTCTTCATGACGCATTTTTTCTTTATTTTTGCATTTCGTTTTAATTTTGAAAACTGTTTCATTCACTTTTTTCCTGTACATGTCCAGGAGAAGGAAAAGAAGGAATATGCTAATGGAAAAATCAATTCCCGTTTTCGAGTTCCCAAGATAATCACACGGTAACGAAATAGCTATGGGCCATGCGTTCAATTTGGAAGAGATGGCACGTGGAGTAAATGAGGAAGATAATGAAATAAGTCAGAAAAAGCATTTTAATGCTCTACATCGGACAAATGCGCATCATAAAATGAGCTAAATTATAATCATCTCTTCCATCAAGGTATAATGGAATAAGAAAAGAATTGTGATTATTTATTTATTGAATGCAGATATTCAGTGAGGGGAAATAATTAACCACATCGATACCTTTTAATAAGTTGCAACATACATATATATTTTCTTCAGAGTGTTCTCAATGTTAAGGCAGCTAAAGTAAAAATTTAAAAAATTCTGAAGTAAAAAGTATGAAGTTAAAAACAGTTCGTTTCCTCTTAAAAATTAAAAAAAGGAAATTTTCCGCTTTTTCATTCTGTACTATAATATATTTCAATATAAACTCGTTAAATGTTTCGAAAATATAATGCTGATATAATATGACATGCATATATTTTTTTTAAATTACGCGGCTGACTTTTAAATTCATAGCTTATATATTACATATCTCCACTATGATTAATAAAAAAGAATCTAAGCTCAATTTAAATGATTTTATTTAATGAATAAATAGTTCGAATGATAAAAACTGGTATTTGATAATGACATGTGTTCCCTCCCCCTCTTTGTTGCATGAATGCTTCCAATTTTAGAAATGTTTTTCTACTAACAATATTCTAAAATATTCTTATTTCATCTATATTCTGAATAAAAAACATTTAAGATCTGAGAAAAATAGTTCATTCCTGTACATTATTTTGAAACTAAATTTTACTAGAAAAACATACAAAACTAATTAACTAGTAACATAAATTTTAATATAATTTATACATTTTAAATTAAAAGAATGAAATGAACATTATTTTGTATAAAAACATATTTATGAGAATTATATGATAGAAATACGCCAAATTAATAGAATAGCAAGTATTAACGCAATTTATAGTATAACTATCAACATATAAATGAATATAAGTTAGTGAAAGAATGATTCTCATTATAAAGCTTTTTGGCGGATGTATCAATAATGTAGACCTTCTGAAAACAAAACCCACAAACAATTATATGCATTTTGCTAATTTTTACTAAGATGAAAAAGAAATCGCACACGCTTTCAATAAAACAGCATCTCTTTTAAGTGTATATAATATTTTATTCGCATTATAAGCATTGCAAAACAGATATTTTAAATATAAATAATAATCACTGCAGATAGTTAGAACGAAAGAACATTATTTTGTGTAAAAACAAATTTATGAAAATTGTATCATAGAAATACCACAAATTAATAGAATAACAATATTATACAAAAATATATTATTCTCTTATACTGAAAACCCATTTTCAAAGACGAAATGAATGAAGATCAGTTATCCATGGACAAGAGACTGAATTCTCTTGCCCATGGATAAATTATGAGGCTGAAATCATCACATTGCTTTGGGTGTAACTTTTAAGATATCTACTGTATTCATAAAAGATGCATGTAGCGGAATGACAGACTTACTTCATTTCAGTTCATAATGCTCATAGTTAATGCGTCGTGTAACCAACCTATAAAGCATTAAAAATTACTGCTGCTTAAGAAAATGTAATTTTGATGTAACTAGGCTAAGGACCAAAATTTTGTAAATTTGTGTTTTAGAGATTTAAAGCATTTCAGAAGATAATATGCAGTAACAAATCTTGGAAAGGATGCCTGATTTATGAAACTCACTGACTAACAAATGTATACATTTATGTATACAAAAATTGCAAAATTCTTATAAATGGAAAACAGCAATTTTTTTCTTGACAGTAAAAATTAATTCAAAAAAAAATCTCTTCAAATACACGAAAAAATAAAAGCAAATGGAATTTTAATCTCCTTCAGTATGCCGAGAAATGCAAAATAAAACCTGCCTTTTTCTCAGCTAACAGATACAAAATTCAGAATTTAAACTAAATTTAAAAAAGAAAAAAATAAATCTGAGTTAATTTAACATCTGCCAAACCTACAGACTGAAAATCAAAGGCCTGTAGCCCATACCCTTACGGCCTGGGAACGAAAAATAACTTTGAAAAAATTTAAATAATATAGACAGCAAAACATAAACCCAAGCTGATGCAAAAAATACAAGCATACGAAACGAAGAAACGTTTTCTAGCAGGAAAACGAAGAAAATCGAAAAAATTAAGACGGTTTCAAAAATAATGTATTGTATACATGTAAACAAAATTGTAATGTGCTAAATTATTCAGAATAATGTGAGGTAATTTTTAACCTTAAAAATTAAGCAATTACAAATAAGAAACAAACGTCTCAAACTGAGAAAAATAATAAATATATATCATAATAATAAAAATCAGTCATATAAAATTCAAATAAAATTCATTAAATTCAACTTGAACAAGCGCAAATTATCAAGTACAGTAGGAAACTTCGAATTATAGATTTCATTGAAATTAAGAAAATTCAGAAAAAATCTGCAAACATAATCTAACCCAAACACGTGTAATGCATTTAATGTCTGTTAATAAAGAAAAGGGTTTTTTAATGTTGCTTAATTAAACGTACTTTGAATAAATAAAAATTAAACTAATGTATTTAGAACCTAATTATTTTTCCCTCTTAAAGAGACAGAAACATGACCCAGTAACATTTCTATGTTCTAATGAATCATGGAGAGTATGTGTAACAAAGAATTTAAAACATTTTTAAAAGATTCAGATGAAAACATTTAGAAGTTGAAATATGTGGAATTCGTAAAGTATATAAAGTTCTCTCATTTGAGCTATCATGCATCATGATAATTGCCCATTTAATTAGTAGAACAACAGTAAGAATGTACTTAACATTTTACTCCGAGCTATTATAAAATTATGATTTGAGGGGGGAAGTCCTTAAATCAACAGTGAATAAAATTAGTATAAACCGCCTAATAGGATTATATTTGTATGTAGACATTCAATGGAAATTAGGAGATTAATTATGTAATTTATATTGACAAATCTAATGTAGCTAACTGTGTTTTAATAAAATTACTTGGAATTGCATTATATTTAGGAAATTTAATTAATAGTATGCGTTTTTTTTTTTTTTTTTTTTTTTTTTTTTTTCAAAATGTCTTCATTGTGAGTCTAGATATTTCTAGTTATGGTGGTTTGATTTATTATAGTAACGGCAATGACTTTTCTGGAAAAGTTCGATTGTCAATTTGTTCGTTTCATGGCTTTAAATTTCAAGACTTCTTTTACAAAAATGTGTATTTTTTAATGTTATAGATTACTTTTATTCAGTTATTAGCAACTTTAATAACATTTGCGATTAATTAGAATTAACTGAAACATTATCCCTTTTAACACCAAAGTTAGACAATGGTACATAGTACTAAATTTCACTTTAATTGAAGGATTCCGAATTATTTTATTACATCTGATTGAAAGGATTTGAACTGTAAATTTAATTTCCTTTTATTTGAATTAAAGGAGAAATGCATAAATATATTTCAGTATTTTCGAATTTCTGTTCTTTATGAATAATATTATAATTATATGTATTAGATATTTGCGCTATATATTAAAATATTATAAATTAGCAGAAAGAAAAAGTTTCTTTAGATAATATAGACCACAAATGTATAATATCATGATAAAATATGAATTTATTTTAAAGATTCGGATGTCAAACTTATAAAGAAAAACCAACCCGTTTAACTTATTTCAATTCGAATCTTCTCCTATTGCTTGTATTTTATAAGACATTTTGGGTTTTTTCTTGCATATCGGCCAAAAATTAGAGAAAAATTCTTTTTCGTATTATTTAACCTTTCGTTTCCTTATCTCTAAGATCACTGCTAATGTCTCAGGCATCGGACATTAGAATAGAATCCTTGATAGTCTTAAGCTCCGAGTGTCATTTCATTTGTGTTCTTTATTCTGGAAAGATAGTATTGAAGTTTCGTGACAAGGTATCTAACTTCTATTCCATGGTAATTTAGTGCGACGACGAAGAAGAAATAATGGGACAACCAGTGTGACTATATTTCCGAGAAATAAAGGTATGAGTTACTTTTTCTTCCACAAACCTAAATGATATTTTAAAGCAGAGCATTTTACAAAATTTGCGTTTATGACATTTTAAACTTATAAGCAATAATACTATTTTGATGATTCCCTGCTTATTATTATACAAGAAACACTGTAGAAACTTAAATTTTCTCATCAAAATGCTTTCTGTGCATACAAAAATTAAAAACATTTTAAAACCTACTATTTATTCGGCTTCTGTATCGAATGCAACCAGATATTATACAGGCCTACAGCTTTTACATTTTTTCAAATGATAACTATGCAAACAATTTACTCACATCCTCGTCAGTTCGTAAGAAGGTACCTTGGCATTTTTAAGATAAAGGATTTATTGGGAAGCTACAGTGTATACATACAAAAATATGTACAACTTTCAGTACGGAAAGAATATCGAAGGCTTTATTGACAGAATAGTGTTGGTGTAAAAAAATTGTCTTGCCAAGAAGGAGAACAACAAACCAAAGAGCCATAGTATGGGATATGACCACTCCTACCTGTCATGGTTGCGTTGCACCGTCTGTCGATACAACAGATTATCTAACAATTCTTGGGGTAAGAGATCCCATTTTTCAAGCAGCATCTGGTATAATCGTACTACCTGGCGTCTCTTTAAAGTATCCCTTACATGTTCAATGGAATTTAAATCTGAGGAGTACGGTTGCCAATCCATTCCGTGAATATGTTCACTTTCTAGAAGCTTCTCAACGGTATGAATCCTGTGTGGCGGTGCACTGTGCATAAAAACAAACTCGGTACTAAACTCGGAACGCCCTGAAAATGAAGCACATGGAGGAATATGACTTCATCACAGTAATGATCATCGGTTTGAAGCTTTGTGTGTTCGTTCATCATGATGGCTCTCCATGCAAGCAATTCAGAATCGCCCATAAGATCTCTTTCTCTGATGTTAATGTGATGAAAGCATATCCATAACTCACTTTATATCAACTGAACCAGAATCGTTCTTCAAAATGAAATTACTGTCGCTGGTAAAGTATACATGAGTCCATTGATGAGGTGTTTAGTCCTTTTGATCTGAACACCATTGTAAACGGCGCGTTCTTTTGTGTGCTGTCAATGATATCCAACGTTCTGCACAGAGTGCGAATAGGCCGTTTTTATGAAGTCGTCTGGACCCAATAGACAAGGAGGGATCGGTTGCCGTCTGCATTTGCTGAGCAATTTTGCCCGCTGTCTGGTTTTGATCCCTTTTCGCATACCGGGTAATAAATATATCGATCATTAGCCACAGTTGCCTTCCTTGGATGACCACCACGTAACTAACAGCTGTGCGTATCGTATAGAAGGTTTTGCAAGATGGTATACAATATTTTTCTCAGTTCCAAATATTTGAGCAACACCAGTAAAACTAGGCCCTTCCTTGTCAATTGTTCTGCCATTGTAAAGGTTTTATAATGTTTTCCTGTACCCATACTACACATAAAATGTCACTTTCACCGGGAGAAGAAACCTTTCTTTCTTCTTAAGTTGCTTGCAACAACTCACGCTGACGCATTGTATTTTGTGTTCGTTCCTATAAGCTTTGACGTCATAGTACTGATATTTAAATATGTATCACCTTTCTGCTGACTTGCCTTTCAGTTGTAGTGCAACATGCTCTTTTCAAAAATTTCATGGTTGCATGTTGAAAAATGAGTTTTTTGCTTAAATTTTGCACACTAGTGTATATAAATACACTAATCATTTTAATATATTTAACAATATATCTATAACTGTGAGTATGTGTAATCAAGAGATATTGATTAAATAAAAAATTAACTAAAAAAGTTGGTTACAATTTTAACGGAAAGCATAAAATGTCTAAAAAAACTGAATAAAATAACATAAAAAATTAATGTTAATTAATATAACATAACAAAGATAATAAAGTACATTATTGAAAACAGTTTGGTCTTTTTCAAGAATCAGTTCGAATAAGTTTCAACAGAGCCAAGTTTCCAAAATATATCTGGATAATTGCAAATTCATGAAATCATTCAAATGATATGAGGTATAATTATATTCTTCCTCTTTTCTGTATGCCTTCTTGGTGTAACGGTAACACACGATACGTAATCTAGAGGTCCAGGTCCGATAGCCTGGCAAGGGCATGCTTTATGTTCTTCTGTTTCAAAATAACCTAATGACTGTACAGTCACGCCCGAACTGAGAAGGTGGTGGACGATAATTCGTCAACACTAGGATTTGGCGGCTTAATCCCCTGATAACGAATCTCTCTTTAAAAGGAAGTGTATAAGTTATTTTATCCCTCTTTTATGTATGCTTTCGAGGTGAAACGGTAGCCCACTCGACGCGTATTCGAGAGTTCCATGTTCGAGTCTCGGCGAGAGCATTGTTCATAACCTAATGACTGTACAATGAAAGTGCCAAATAAAAAAAAATATTAAACTTATTAATTGAAATCCGCTATTTAGTCAATAAACTACACATTTAAAACATTTACATTTTAATTGATCGCCAAGCTATAATCTGCTCCCATGTGAGCCTAAAACAAAAATATTGTGAAAAGTATAGTTGAATTTTATATATATTAAATACATAACACATAATATACACATATATATATTAAATATAATATATGTTTTCAAAATAATTTTTTGTAATTATTGTTATATAAGTATATTTAATGCATATAAAAATAAACTACGTTCAGTGTTGAATGTAAAAGTACGTTATTTTCTCAAAATACATGATTGCAAGATAAACATGTTTTCGAACGAATCAGTATCAATTAGAAATTTGACAGCGGGGAGCCGATGAGTCTTCCATTTTTCCATTTCGGTCAAATTTTCATACCAATGAAGGGTATAAATATATATAAATATGTGTATACGGGAAAAAAAAACACATACCTCTCAAATATAAACAAACCACTGAAGCTCAAGTTCTATGTAGCGTTCATTTTATTTAAATACCGTTGTTGTCATTCAGTTCTGCAGTTGAAATTCTGCAGTTTGAATCCAGTTGCCCATTTCGCATTTTTAAGAGAGCTTGAAAATTAACTAATTATGCATAAAGCAAAAGTTATTTTAGTTTGAATATAGAAAATACTAAACGAATGAAGATATATAAATATTCAAGCACATTTATTTATATTCTCGATAAAGATATACAGAATGAAATACTATTCCAAATAACGTATAATGAGACTAGATATATTTTATCATTTTCCAAATCTTAAGACAATAAAAACGCTAAGTAGGAAACTCATCTGCATATGCAAAGACATAAAATAGTAACAGCAAATTTAATAGTTGAATGTCATAAATCTACTTGACATTCTGAATTGGATGAAAGCGGCAAATCGGTGTCAGCTTGTATAATATGTAATCCTATCCATCTCGGGAATTTTTTAATAGTTCCGTAAAAAATTAATATTTCGTAAACACTCACTAAAATCTAATGCACAATTTTCTTAATCGGTTTCGCTATAATCAGGAGTTAATAATGCAAGAATAAAACAACATTAAAGCTTGAATAACCTCCTTGGAGTGTAAACATTTTATAGTATATGGAACATGAGTTTGGCTAATTAACTCATGTCCCATACGGAATGCTGGAAACATATGCAGTATATCTGCACTTTTTGAATGAGCATAATGTTAAATAAATGCTTGTGATTCTGAAGCTTTCGTATTTTAAGTAACTGGCGGCGCATTAATTTCGGTCTAAAAGTGCGTTCGCCCAAAATTCGCGATTTAATCATGTGCAAAATTTATTATATGTTTAAAATTAATTTATCAAATTATTTTACCTTATTCCGTATTTTTATTACATTAGTTTCTACAGTTTGTTTTCTGTTCATTTTAAATTAATAAACTTGTACATTCAAGTTCATTTCCTGATTCTATTGAATTGAATACGCAATCCGTATCCGTAACGAAATTTCTAAAATTTAGACAGAACTGATATATTTTATTTGGAAAATATACACCATCTACGTTATTTGCTACCGACAGTAGCAGGAAGAAGCTTAATTTGCAATTCTTACAGTACTAAATTAATATTCTCTTAAAATCAAAGATAATTAACCAAGTTGAGCATACAATTCCCGCTTGAATTAAATTAATGCTACAAATTCTGTTATTAAATAATTTATCGTTTAACCTTTCAAAGAAATTTGTTTTTTCTTTATAATTCCTTGAAAGTTTTACTCTTCATAAAAGTTGCTTGAAATGTTTTATAAAACCATTTTTCTGGCTTTCGAAATTACAGTAAATGAATCTTAGATCAAGTGTTTTACTTGACAAGGTACATACCGCATCCACAAATCTTTTAGAGTAGGTTCTTGTAAAACAGATAGTTCTCATAAAATCAAGGGTTGAATCAAGGGGAAGACAATACCGTTATAGAATAAGTTTAAATAAATTATTAACAAATTCTTGTATATCTATACAACGCTTACCACATTCATACAGCTCTTTTTTCTTAATCTATCTTACCTTCTGCAATACAGTTGAATTAAATGTTAAGGATTTCTGATTCTGTTCAATAATGTTAAAACTATGAACCTTAATTATATAATTAATTTTAAAAAACTCTCAAAACTGAATTAAAACATTTTCAGTGTTGTAAAATTTAGTTGCAGACTTTATAATTAGAAATCTTGTAGTGTATTTAAAGATCAAAAGTCGCTGAATAACATTTTGAATGAATTTGTTCCCCTAGATTTTATATTGAATTTAATTTTACACTTAGCCGGTTTGGGCCGTTTTGAGTAAATATCAAGAACTATAGAGCAGGTCTCGACAACTTATACCCCTGGGTCATCAAACAACATTTTCATTGTTTCAAGTGACCCATCTGAGTTCCGAAAATAATGTACAATATATAGAAATAAGTTACAAAACATGAATATGAAACAATCAATTCAAGAATGCAGAAAAAATTAACCGAAAATAAATAACATCAGCATTCTTCTTTCATTATAAACCTGCAGTAAAGCACATGTACTTTTAAAAATTGTAACATAATTTCAAGGATATATCAATAAATTTGGCAACACCTGTCCGTAACCCATAATTCCGAATAACGGGGTTTCATATCTTGTCCGCTTTCGGATCAACTTGTAAATGTGAGCAAATATTTTAACTCATGAAATTTGCTTTAACTATTAACAGGAGCAGCTTAAACTACCGAAATTTCAGATGCTTGTATTTGTCTTAAGACAACTAATTATAATCCAAAACTAAAATGGCGTCACAAGTTCACCATCAGAGAAGCCATTGTTATCAAAGAGAAAAATAAAGTTCATTCAATTATGATTGTTTTTATAAAAAAATATAACTTTGATAGTTATGTTTAAAGTTTAAAGAGTATTTTAATTATTTTGTCAAATAAAATGTATGTTATTATTCAACAAGAAAGACTGTCTTAAAATGAAAATCCCGAAACGTTTTCTAAATACACATAGTTCGGCTTATTATTTGACTCAAAGCCAAAAACGTTTGTAGACGCTTGAATTGAAATTTGAAACTGAGCATTGAAACTGGTCACCACCACGGTTTGATTTGCCTGTACATCCAATTCCCTCGCAGCAACCCTCTTTCTACAGAAAAGCTTCGATTCAGGTCTGCATGCAAAAACATCAGCAATTGCAGCATCCTCTGACCTTAGCAAATTTATTTTATTCTTCAATCTACATTCTTC